ACTTGTCTGGTGTCATTATCTTTGATACTGATGAGATATTGTAGGGATTAATGAAAGTGGGAACCTTTACAAAATCTTATTTATCGACATTAATACATAAAGAATTGGGCCAGGGAGATGGCTCAGTGGAATAAGCGCTTCTCTGACAAGCGCAAGGGCCTGAGTTCAATCCCTGGTTCTGCCAAAAAAAAAAAAAAGGAACAAAAAAACCATAAAGAATTATTTGAAGTGTGGCTTATGATGTCATGATTTTTGTTTTTGTTTTTAGAGACAGGGTCTTGCTATGTATTCCAGGCAGGTCTTGAACCCACGGCAATACTTCTGCCTCGGCTACCCAAGTGCTGGGTTTAGAGCCATGTGCCGTTGATGTGATGATTTTTTATTTTTTACATGGCAGTGGTTTATTATGCTTGGTAGCCCCACACATGTCCTGGTTTTGACATACATACTTTGCAGCCAGTGATGTGAGTGACGGGGGATGTTGTGTTTGGTCCTGTGTGCCGTTGCGTTTGTGCGTCAGTATCAGCCTTGGAGTCCAGAACAGTGCATAGCGCAGCTGCATTTATGGAATCATGATGGTCTGAAAATGAGCTTCGGGAGCTGCAGCTCTCTTACACTGTGTCCTGCAGGAGACAGTCTAGGTAGCTTTAGTCTAAGAAAAGAACTGACTGAACTAGATAAATATTGGATGCACTGAGTGCCTTGATATGATTAATTTTCTTCAGAAAACTTATTTATTAAAAATAATTAGGAAGGGCTGGGGAGATGGCTCAGTAGAATAAGTGCTTCCCAGGCAAGCGCAAGGGTCTGAGTTCACTCTCTGGTTCCACAAAAAAAAAAAAAAACAACCAAAATAAAACCAAAAAAAACACAATATTGAGATACCACCTCACCCCAGAAATAATAATAATTAGGATGTCGTTCAGTGGCAGAGTGCTTGGCTGCCATGCATGTGTCTCGGCTGTGATCCCTAGCACCTCAGAAAAGAAAAAGGAGGAAACAAGTTGTGATTTGAAGTGTTGGCTTCCTTTTCTAAAAAATTCAGGATTATAATTTAAGATACTAAATCAAGGTAGATATAATTTCCCTTAAGGAATATCAACTTATTCTGGTAGAAATGAAGAGCTTCTAGAATTGTGGAAATTAGGATCAGATCGTACTAATTTTTCTGTATGTGTGCTGTCTTTTCAATATGCAGATACTGTTCAATTATCTGTATCGTAAGAATTTCTAATCAAGATTCTGTCTTATTTCTTCATGCAACGAGGTGTCTTCTGAAAGCATTGTATTTTGAGACTATAACTTATATGCTAAAATCCATACATTCTAAAAGATTAATAAAATTATCAAAAAGTATATAGAGATATTAGTGACATGATTAAATTCCTTTTCCCATTTGTTAAAATATTTAAACATAATTCAGTTTTCTGTATGATTATAACTTTCTAGTCTCTTTATGAAGAGAAAATTTTGTCTCTCTGATGTTTCTTTGTTTTAACCTTTACTCTTTTTTTTTTGCGGAACCGGGGCTTGAACTCAGGCCCTTGCACTTGCCAGGGAAGCGCTTACTCCACTGAGCCATCTCCCCAGTCCTTAACCCTTACTTCTTAACAACTTCTATCCTTCAGCATCTGGTACTTTTAGGTTGTGCATATGAGCAGAAGCAGCATAGCCTTGCAGCAGCCTTAGCAGTTGGATGAGTTTGGGAAGTTGGGGGACTGCATTGATAGCACCTTGAGAAAAGGCGATGTGGAGTTCCTTTAGAAGCGGGTTTTGGCTCGCTTTTAGGATTGAAGGTGATTTAATAATACCCGTGCTTGACTAGGTTGGGAAGCAGTTAGGAAAGTGGCTCCGTAATGATAGAAATCGCGGAAGCAGATAGAAGTGCATGTGCAGATGGGGGCGTAGGCATGTGACCGTGTTTCTTGAATACCTCCAGAGTGAAGACTAGAGCATGTTGGTTATTGAAGGTTTTGAAAAATAACTAACAAGTAATAGTTCTTAGAAATATTAAGTTCTAGGGCCAGCAAGAGAGCTCAGCAGACTAAGTGCCTGCTTAGGCAAGCACGGGGATCGTGGTTGGATCCCTCACACCACATGCCACTCTAGCCCCACCCCTGGGCGCACTGAGCCGGCCACTAATTCTGGGGGTGGTGGCGCACGCCTGTAATCCCAGTGCTGGGGAGGCTGAACCAGGAGGATCACTAGGAATCCAAGGGGCACAGTGAGACCCTGTACCAAATGCACAAATAAAAAAAAAAAAAAAAAGAAAAGAAATACTGTTGTAAGCTTCCACAAAACCTTTAGCATGCTGTAAATACTGGATATTCCTCTTGCAGCCGTTCATGATCATTGTGCATCATTGTGTGACGCACGAGTCAAAATGAATGTTACATTAAGTAGTAAAGTAAAAAAAAAAAAAAAAAGAAATCTTAACTTGTGACTATGTAGTAATAGCATTCTTTGCAGTCACATTTTAGATTTTCTTATCTTTCCTCTCTTGTAGTGTTTGATGATGGTGACGAGAGAACACTGAGACGGACCTCTCTGTGCCTGAAAGGCGAGAGGCACTTTGCAGAGAGTGAGGTGAGGTGACACCCACGGGGCTGGTGGCTGCAAGGGTAGCTGCTGATCTCGAAGCAGCATACAAAGTGAGTTCATCTGTTTCTTACCAGACCCTCGATCAACTTCCGTTAACAAATCCAGAACATTTTGGAACTCCAGTAATTGCCAAGAAGACGAACAGGGGAAGGAGGTCCTCACTTCCTGTGTAAGTTTTTGATACATACAATGTCTCAGTATAATGACAGTGATTACAACGCTGAACAGGTGATTTTTCTCTACTAGCTGAGTATGATTGGGCAACCTTGCCATGGGATCTTTTTTTGGGTGGGTGGTGGTGGTATTGGGGATTGAACTCAGGACCTTGTACTTATCAGGCAAGCACTGTTCTACTGAGCTGTCTCCCCTGCCTCTGCATGGGATCTTGTATTCTCATGTTAGACATGCTGTGCTGGGTAGACCTAGTCTTAATTATTGCCATTATCTTACCCAAGAATTATCACAACTCAACTTCAAAAGGGCTACTTTTATTTTAAGTTACTCTGGCAAAACCCATTATTAATGTGATGAGTTTCCATTTTAAGTAAGCATATTTTGTTTCACCTTTTATTTACTTTTTAAAGAATTTTTATTTATTTATTTTGGTTTTAGGGGTTGAATCCCGGGCCTGTACACTGAGCTGTGTACCCTATCCTTTTTATTTTATTGTTTTAATTTTGAGACAGTCTGTTTATGTCAGTGATTTGTTGGTGGTGGGCTGAAACTTGAGTCTTCCTGCCTCAGCCTCCCAGGGGGTATAAAAACATTTCAAAACTTAAAAATTTCAAGACTCACATAATAAACTTCTGTATGTTCTTTATCTAGAGTCACTAATTTTGTGTGTGTGTGTGTGTGTGTGTGTGTGTGTGTTTAGTACAGGGTCGTACTACACAGATCAGACTCGTAGTGATTCTCCTGTTTTTAGCCTCCCAAGTGCTGGGATGACAGACGTGTACCACCACACCCAGTCTCAATGGCTGTCTCAGTGCACCCCGGGGGCGGGGCCGGCATGGCACGCTGGGGATCGAACCCCGGCTGCTGCACTCTGCCTAAGCAGGTGCTTTAGTCCACTGAGCTATCACGCTGGCCCTTAAAGTCACTAATTTTTAACATTTTTGGCATATTTGATTTACTGTTTTATATATATAGATATATAGATATACATATCTGTATCTATACATGTATAATGATTTTATTTTGCTAAACATTTGGAGATGAAATTGCAAGCATCATGAACCTTTAGCATTAAATTTCCAAAATATGAACATCAAATTCAGAAAGTTTAATAATACTGATGGAATACTGTCACTTAACATGTCATTCTTTCAAGTTTTGCCAGTTGTCTAGTCACAGTCTTTACACCACCTCCTTTCCCCCTTGATTCTAGGCTCCAGCCTACCATCCTGTGCTGCATGACATTTGTGTAAAGTTCTTGAAGTCTCCTGTCATGTGGGAACGATCTTTAGCCTTTTTTGTCTTTCCTGACACTGACAGCTTAGCAGGGTGCAGGTGTGTAGTTTTGTAGACTTCTTTGACAGGGCTTTGGCTGGTTGCCTTTTCATGACTAAACCCAGCTTGTGCATTTGTGAGACCAAGAACTGCAGGAGCGGTGTCGGGGCCTTCCTGCCGCGAGTATGCTGTAAGGATGCGGTACCGGCGGCCCCCGTGAATGGTGATAGCAGCTTGGATCACCTGGTGGAGGGAGAACCCCCAAGCTTCTAAGCCTCAAAATTATCCTTCCCTTTGTAACTTCTACATAATCTGTGTGGAGATACTTCTAGGCTATTTAAATATATACCTTGCTTTTTATTAAAGTTCAAGTGACTTTTACCATTTGGTGGTAAGTCTTGCCTAAGTAAGTTAGTACTATTATGATAGCAAAGTATTGTAATGATTTTCTACTCTTTTATTCCTGCTACATAATTAAGTTACAAAACTATAGGCTTACAATTAATATGTAATGTTTATACTTTAGGGTAAACCTCAGATAAATTCTCTAAATAAACCCTCATGTGTTTTACAGAGATAATTTTCATATCTTGTTAAATAAAGTATTATCTGGTACCTGACAATAAAATAGAAAGAAATTGTTTTTTTTTTTTAATTTTTTTTATAACTTTATTTATTTATTTATTTAG